TTCGCTCTTTTTGACACATTTTTCCTGAGATTTCAACGGAACTGCCCGAGGTTAACACGTTCAAAATAGCGAAAAGCAGCGGAATGACGGTGGTACCTATGCTAATCTTGCTGGAGAACAAACGATACACCGTAACAGGTGTCTTGCAACGCCTTTCAAAAATGTGATTGCCATTTGAAAAGCTTGAAAACTCGTGCGTAGTAAAATCAGCATACGTAGAAACACTGCTGCACAGATTTTAGACCTTTTTTGGGGACAATTTTTTGGATGTCTTGTTTTGCAGTTGGTCTAAAAGCTGGAGTTTCCTACTGTGATAACACGCAATAAGAAAAACATGAGTGATTCGCTTTCTGCTGTATTTATAAGCTGAAGCCATCCCCACTGGATGTTACCCAGAAATTGGCAAAAGAATTTGAGAGGTATTAGCGATCAAACGGTGTGTAGATACTTTTAAAACACCCCGTATACGCCATGCATATCGAATTCTCGAATATTTGGTGCTTGTCGAATTTTCGAATAGTCAATTATTATCGAATTTCCGAATATTCGGTGCTCAACGAATATTCGAATATTTGATGGACATCGAATGATCGAATGATTGACCCTCGAATATTCGACTATCGAATAATATTCGAAAGTGAAGATTTTCGAATATTCGACTTTCGAACAATATTCGAACATGAAGATTTTCGAATATTCGACTATCGAATATATTCGAAAACTGAAAATTTCGAATATTCGACTTTCGAATTTTATTCGAAATCTCAGATTTTCGAATATTCGACTTTTCGAATCATTCGCATTCGAATGATTTATTCGAATGATCGAATAATCATTCGATTCGGTCCCAAGTATAGTATGCGGTAGGCGGTCAAGGTCGTGGATTTGCCTCAAACTTTTGAGGGGTTACCTGACGAGCTGATTACGAATGTTGCTCTCATTTTCATGGTAAGGTTTTTTGTGAACTTGGAAAATAAAATGGCATTGAGGCGTTGTTGCAGGGAACGAATTTGACAGTTGTGTTTTGCATGCTTGAGAAAACTTTCTAAGAAGAGTTTAGAGGAAGATTGGAGGCAGTTTGGATTTTTGAACCATTTCCTGTATATTGACCGTAACCCGAAAAATACCGTGCACAATCCATATGATATTTAAGTATAGCCGAACAATCCCAATAAACAGAGTTTTAGCGAAATTCAGTGTTTCATTTCTTGGATCACCTTATGGATAGCACCAAAGCGGCTAGCGGCGGCTGCTGCTAGCGGCAGATGCTGGCGCGGTATCACCCTGAAGTTTTCCTCTACTTGATTACCTCTAATCTTTGCTACTCTTCTGAATTTTTCTATGTTCATCTCGCCCTCCGTATTCTCTGTCTGCCACAGTTCCTTTTTTATGTATTTTGTAAAATAGAGGCTTAGAGGGAAGGCCGCGGTCACCTGACCCTTCCACATGAGTAGCACATTGAAGTATTTGTGGCACGAACTGATATTTGTGTTCGCTATCTGCAAAGCGATTTTTTCAAGTAACGTGTGAATGTCTTAACGAAATTTTTGATATCAGACAGCGAGAATCAGCACTGTTGGACAATTTGCCTTCCTGATTCTACGTGCAGTATAGTTGATTCGCTATTGTAATGAGATCAAGCAATTCGTACTCATCAACACGTTTCGGACCGATGCTGCACATGGTGCAGCGCGCTGCTTTGAAGGATCTTTCTGGCGTTTGCAGGAGGTTTCCTTCTAGTCTAAAGTTGCTAAGTCAAAGGTCTAAGCTCCTACTTTTCAAATGACTCTGTAGAGTTGTGCCGCCGATATTTGTTTAGGAGATATGAGCACAAATCGAACAACAGTTGCAACGAAATGCGGCAACGCGAATGAGGCGTGCGACGTCGCAACTTTCCTTTGCTTCGATATCAAAGAGAAAAACCGTAGTTTCAATATTGATGTGTATCGTGTACAACATAGATACTTTTGAATACTATTAGAATCTGAGTTCTTGTTCCTATCTTCCAAGAAAGCACAAAAGTCACTCTCAAACAACAAAATTTAAACACTTTGAATTCACTCAGAACTTTGAATATGGAGCTTATCTGACATGCTGATTACAAATGTGGCCCACAGGCTGCGAAATAAGGTCCCTTTGTAGGCTAACGGCTGAAAGTGCACTCTTTTTCGCCGCGCGCGATTTCGCCGTCCGAAACGTGTTGAAGGCAGTGTCCGGGCAAAAACTCGATTTTGAGATTTTGTGCTTATACGAGCCTATTCGCCTTGCTGAATCCGAAGATCCACATTGGAAAGCGCGAAAACGGCAAAGAAGGGCTCTAGCGCAGAAGGGAAACTGCAAGTGGGCGGGGTCCCCCCACTGTATTTACGCTCCCAACTTCCGGAGCGGCCTTCTCGATTCCGCTAGCCGTCCTAACATTGCTACCGGCCAAGTGCGAATGATTGATATGAAAGCGGAGGCGAGAAGGTCGCTCCGGAAGCTGGAAGCGTGAATTCAGTGGGGAGGACCCCGCCCACGCTGGTTTCCCTTCTGTGTTAGAGTCGTCTTTCGCCGTTTTCGCGCTCTCCAACGTGCATTTTCGGATTCAGCATAGCGAATAGGCCCTCGTAAGCACAAAATCTCAAAATCGAGTTTTTACCCGGACACTGCCTTCAAGCAGAGGTGCGATAGGTGGAGCCGGGCCCCCCAAAAGTGAAGGTGGTTTCAGCTACCACTGGCCGGCCAAAAGTGAAGGTGGTAGTGCCGGACACTCACCTCTCAAAAACGTCGACGGGGGGGGGGGGGAACTTCGGATAATTGAAGAACTCTGACCCAACGGTCTCCTTGAGGGCCAACAGGTGTGACCTAACGGCCCTCTTTAGGGCCACAAATACGATGAGTACAGCGGCATAAAAATAAAATAAAAAGAAATAAACATGTTTTTCAAATGGTCTATTTGTAAGTAAATCCCAGTCAGACTTTACGTATTTTATTAAGTAAATTTTGTTATAACGTACTGCGAATAAAGTAGGTCGATCCAGGCAGCAACCACCGAGAACCAGAATTTCGAATAATAAAATAGCGAAAAATCATGCGAAATTTCCACTGTTATAAATTTGGTCGCTGAAGATGTCAGCAACTGCGACTTCATAGGTAAAGGGCTAGTGTTGTTCTACCAGTCAGTGAAAGAATTAGATCGATCTGAGCAGTACTCGCCGAGAGCGAGAATTTTAAAGAATTAAGCGATTTTAGGTTGCTTAGTCACAGCTGACGTTTAAACTCCTACAAATCTGGAATTTGAAGGTGTGCAATGTTGCGACTTCATAGGCTTTGTAGAGCAAGAATTTCTCTATCGGACTTGGTTTTAGCCGTACCGATCCATTGAAATAGCGCCGAGATCCAGGGCCTTGAAAAAGCAGGTAAAAAACCGCTTTTGAACTTCAACAGCTCATAACTTCTTCAGAATTGCATGAATCATGTTGCGACTTCATAGGTTAGATTCTTCTCATGAAGAGCTTTCAGATGATATATATTATGTGGGGGGGGGGGGGTCAATGATTTTTGCGGCTCTAACCCAGGGTGGAGACTTTTCACCCCAAAGTCTCCACCTCGCCCATGTTAATGTATTGCCCGGAGACCGCCAGTGGAGACTTTGGGGTGAAAAGTCTCACCCCCGGGCATATGCCGTGAAGGGCGCGAAACCCCCACATATTGTACATAATATGAAAGCTCTTGATGAGAAGAATCTAACGTATGAAGTCGCAACATGATTCATGCAATTCTGAAGAAGTTATGAGCTGTTGAAGTTCAAAAAGCGGTTTTTTTCTGCTTTTTCAAGACCCTGGATCTCGGCGCTGTTCCAATGGATCGGTACGGCTAAAACCAAGTCCGATAGAGAAATTCTTGCTCTACAAAACCTATGAAGTCGCAACATTGCACACCTTCACATTCCAGATTTGTAGGAGTTTAAACGTCAGCTGTGACTAAGCAACCTAAAATCGCTTAATTTTTTAAAATTCTTGTTCTCGGCGGCCACTGCTCAAATCGACTCGATTCTTCCACTATCTGGTAGAACAACACTTGCTCTTCAAAACTTATGAAGTCTCAATTGCTGACATCTTCGACCACCAGATTTATAACAGTGGAAATTTCGCATGATTTTTCGCTACTTTGTCATTCGAAATACTGGTTCTCTGTGGTTACTGCCTAGATTGACCTACTACATGGATATATGCTCTCAATACTTTCTTTTGCGTTCCTTTTGCTCATTTTCCTTCTTTTAATCTTCAGCAAAAAATTTTTTTCAAACCCAAAAGTGAAGGTGGTCACCCGGTACCAGCTCAAAAGTGAAGGTAGGCGGAGACTCGGCTCCAACTATCGCACCTCTGCCTTCAAGCAAAAGGCAAGAAAATTATGCATTATCCATCCTGAATCTCTACAACATTACTACTTTTTCATGGACAAATGTGCATAATTTCTAGCATAGAACTACGTTGCAGATAGCGAACAAGTATTTGAGATCAGCATTCCGAGAGTATTCTCATATACATCCCACATAGAAAGCCCTTAGTACACTCACATGCTTCCTTTGCCAGTGAACAAGTTCTGAATATGCTACTTTCGAAGATTTCTAGTTTCGTTATTCCAAACGGGTGCAACAAAATCCCTTAGGGCTTCTGACACGATATATAAAGCTCATACTCAGTTCAATATGCCAATTGTAAACAAAGAATTCGGTAGAATCTCTATCAAAGAAACCATTTTCTGTAGTAATACAATTTCAAATCTTGCATTAAATTTACGTGAATACCACGTACATGTGGTCATCTCTCATGGAATTTACTTTAGTTCGTTGGCCTAATACCTTTTAGGTGCACACCGTGCACTGATTTATGATTCTACCAATCTAGGCAACTTATCCTTTTAGCGGTATATAATGCTCGCTTGGCGTATATCACTTGTGTCTATGTTTATTAATGTCTATCACTTTCCTTTAGAGAAGAATTTTCATAAATACTTACCAGCCATGTAGAGATGATCGTCATCGCTACGTTGACGCAACCCATACCTATGGTTGCGATCTTTGCCGCATTACCGATGAGACCAGCTTGTTCGAAGATTGAAGTTGAGTAGAACATGACCGCATTGATTCCTTCAAAGTCGAATTTAAAAAGTGATAGAGGAGGTAGCCGGCCACACACCAGAAAATTGTTGTGCCATCATCAACGCTATAGCGATGATCATCGGCCATCTCAGAGTCCCACGGAACATATCGCCAAACGAAACAGTCCCTGAGCCTTTAGCCGCCGCTGCTTCATCCTTCATTGCATCAATTTCAGCTCCGACCTGGACAGGTAGTTGTACTGTTGATTATGTTTCATACACACGCCATCTTACATCTGAGGTTCCTCGCAACTTTTCCAAATCTGCTGTTGCTTTATCGACATCTCCTTTTACTGTGCAGGTCCATTTAGGCGATTCCGGAACCATTGGCAGTACAAGTACTTGAACGAGGGCAATGATAGCCGTAAAGGACAAAATTATAGGCCAGAGGTCAGGTGTACCGAACGGTATTCCAAGGATCTAGAAAGCAGTTAGTAACGACTTCTCCCTTAAAAAGCGACAGACGCCAAGTTTGCGCTTCTGCTCACTAATAACGTACAGTAGGTGCCCCGGCAGAACATGCAAAACCTGCCAGACCACATGTCTTTCGTGTTTTCTCCATTTTTGAAGCTATCAAATTACATGCGACTTGGCGAGTTTCGCTTATTCTGTCGAAATAGGACACCTACTTAGTGTGAGCAAGTCTGGACCTGGCTCGTAATGTGGTATTAGGTCATTACATAATTTTTGTTCCTTGACTTTCGATAGAGCAAAGCAAGATGATGTTTATCGCGGATCGCGCGACTTTTCAAGCCGTTCACCCCCGCGCTGCAATGGGTCCCAAAACGCAGTCCTCGCGCTGCCTCTCCCACTTACAGCCGCTATAATATTGGTCGCATGACGTCTTTCCTCACTCAGACATTCGCAATTAAGTCCCGCCAGAGATCCGCCCACAAAATGAGAATTCGCGAGAAAACCGGGAGTCTTGCGCGACACCCGGTTTTGTCCCGACTGTCGGGATAATCCCGACACAAAAAATGAAGCGGCAGATTATCGGGAGTCGCGATCTCGGTGTACGCGGGTCATTTTGAATGTATGATGTGATGAAATTTCTGTTTGCGATATAGTGTTGGCTGTGTTGGTGCTTTTTTGGTATGGTTGGTTCTGTTCTTTTTTCTGTTTGCGCCCCCACTCATCCGCTCACAATTTTTTTTGAATTCTGGCCCATGGCTTTACTCGTCATGCGATTTATGTACGCTAAGTACGACTTCATTCGCTGTTTGCATTATTGGCATTCTGATTAAGAGTACTGTTCCTATTTGGGAACGCAACATAACAAGCTCAGGATACCCTTTACTTGCAATTCTATAACTACACGACATCCGCATCAGAGTTCGAGACAAGTTTCCTCTATAAAATCTCAACCTTATATGAGTCATGACTCCCTACCCGTACACTTATCGTAACTCCAGAAACCTCACTATGCAAAACAATACATGTCTCGAGCAGCACGTATAATTTTGTCGTTATATCGAAGTACAGGATGTTCTTTCAGCCTCTTAAAGGAAGTTGACGTTATGGACAACGTAGTGACATCGCTGCAAGGTTCCGATTGGGGATTGGGAGCTATTTGTGTAAATGTTGGATGCATTCCCAAAAAACTCATGCATCAAGCTGCCTTGCTTGGGCATGCTATCAGTTACGTTTTTTAGATCACATTTTGAACTCGCTTGGCATGACCTTTAGGAGCTTACATCCTTCATTCATTGATATCTGAGGTTCGAAAAACCCGGCATCTTCTCATGAGTAATTCACCAAAATCTGTTTGTTGTATCGCTTTGAAATTGTTCCCTACTATCACCACCATTTACATTTACGTGGGCAGAGATATTTTACCATTCTGGCGTTAGGAACATTAGAATCATGAGTTGCATGAAACTTTGTAGTGCTTCCTATCCGGGACTTTATACGTTTCTTAGATTTGTAATCTTTTAAGAGGATGCAAAGATGTATGGCTGGAAGAACCCTGAAGGTGAAATCACTCACAACTGGGAACTGCTCAAGGATAGTGTGCAAGATCACATAGCATCGCTCAATTGGGACTATCGGCTGCAATTACGTGAGCGCAACGTATGTTTTTCCAGTATTCGGGTTTCGAGAGTTTGGTGTAATGCACCTTTTCAATGTAGCTCATTACATCTATGACACCTGCGGGAAGATGGCCTAAACATCTCAAATAGGAAGATTTAAAATGAGTAACAGCGTCTTCTAGTTCACTAAGATATGAAAGATGTACATGGTAGACTAGGTTTTTGCTAGATAGGTGATAGGTAGATTAGTATCACACTGCAAAACTTTTTGGGATATAAACTATAAACAAAATGTTCTGCACTCTTTGGTTTTGGCAATAATTCTTATACGAAACTAGATCAGAGGAGATGTGCGAGCATACCATTTTGATGCTGATAAGGAGATGCTGTCGCCACCCTTGGTAAAATTCATATATGATTTCTCAAATCAGTGTTAATTGTTACTCTTTTCCAGAAAAAACGTTTTTGCCCCACTACAACGCAAGATTCTTTGGCGCACGAGCACGCGAATGAGCCGGAGCATGAGCAAGACGAAGACATTGAAAGTGTGAAGTCGATTTGAATTAGGGATCCAATCTCAAATCTTGATCTCGACAATCCTGTTTTTTCTGTTAACTTACAAGGGAAGCGTCCTTAGTCGAAGTGGCCTTTCTACATGGCACTATGACACTTTGTAGAGCATCGAAGGATGATTCCAAATCCGTCTTCCAATCTGCCAACTGCCTCTGGAAGCCGAGTTATGGGCATTTTTTAAGTCGAAAAAGTGAATGCACAACTGGAACAAAATCGTCCAAGACTGCTCAAATTGTCAGGTGTTTATTATCAGAGCGCTTAATTTAATGAATACCTTCTGCTAATACCTTAATACCCAACATTGCTCTATCTGAGCGCAGGAAATATCGTAATTACTGTTTTTACATAGAATCTTCCTTCATTTTTTGCTCCAAGAAACACTCAAAACTTGGCGCCCAGGGGCGCTTGGCAGATACTGAAAACAAATTTGGAAACAGCGTTAAATGCTTTTTAAAGTGGTATAGGAATCATTTGGAAAAGCCACTTCGACTAAAGACCAGAGATGCGATAGTCGGAGCCGATTCTCCGCCTACCTTCACTTTTGAGCTGGTACAGGGTGACCACCTTCACTTTTGGGTTTGAAATTTTTTTTGCTAAAGCTCAAAAGAATTAAAATAAGCAAAAGGAATGTAAAAGAAAGTATTAAGAACATATATCTATGTAGTAGGTCGATCCAGGCAGTAACCGCCGAGAACCAGAATTTCGAATGATAAAATAATGAAAAATCGTGAAAAATCATTCCACTGTTACAAATCTGCTGGCTGAAGACCTCCGCAGCTGCGACTTCATAGGTTTTGAAGGGTAAGTGTTGTTCTACCAGACAGTCAAAGAATCAATTTGATTTGAGGAGTGGCCGCCGAGAACGAGAATTTTGAAAAACCTTAAAAATCTTCTCAATTTTAGGTTGCTCAATGACAACTGACATTTAAACTCTTATAAATCCGAACTTTGAAGGTGTGTGATGTTGCGACTTCATAGGTCTTGTAGGGTGAGGTTTGCCCTATCAGAATATGTCTTAGCTGTACCGATCCACTGAAACGTCGCCGAGATCCAGGCTCTTAAAAAAGCAGGTAAAAAACCGTTTTTTAGCTCATAACTTCTTCAGAATTGCATAATCCATGTTGCGACTTCATAGGTTGGATTCTCCTCATCAAGAGCTTTCAGATGATATATAATATGTGGGGGATTCACGCCTCCCACGGCATATGCCCGGGGGTGGAGTATCTCTCTTCACTAATTCTCCACTGGCGGCCTCCCGCCAATACATTAAAATGGGCGGGGTGGAGAATTAGTGAAGAGGAGTACTCCGCCCAGGGTTAGAGCCGCAAGAAACATTGAATCCCCCACATATTATATATCATCTGAAAGTTCTTGATGAGGAGAATCCAACCTATGAAGTCGCAACATGGATTATGCAATTCTGAAGAAGTTATGAGCTAAAAAACGGTTTTTTACCTGCCTTTTTAAGAGCCTGGATCTCGGCGATGTTTCAGTGGATCGGTACAGCTAAGACATATTCTGATAGAGCAAACCTCACCCTACAAAACCTTTAAAGGCGCAACATCACACACCTTCAAAGTTCGGATTTATAAGAGTTTAAATGTCAGTTGTCATTGAGCAACCTAAAATTGAGAAGATTTTTAAGGTTTTTCAAAATTCTCGTTCTCGGCGGCCTCTCCTCAAATCAAATTGATTCTTTGACTGTCTGGTAGAACAACACTTACCCTTCAAAACCTATGAAGTCGCAACTGCGGAGGTCTTCAGCCATCAGATTTGTAACAGTGGAATGATTTTTCACGATGTTTCATTATTTTATCATTCGAAATTCCGGTTCTCGGCGGTTACTGCCTGGATCGACCTACTTCCTTCGCAGTGCGTTATAACAAAATTTAGTTGATAAAATCTGTGAAGTCTCGCTGACTTTCCTTCAAAATACACCATTTACTAAACACGTTTATTTCAAATATACATATATGCCGCCGTATACATAAAAATATGCTTTCAATAATCTTTTTTTGCGTTTGTTTTGTTCATTTTCCGCGTACTGTCGGCAACGACCTGCTCAGACAATCGCCGGGGGCAGGCGGGCACCGGAAAAATAGATGGCTGATTTCTTGCACCCCGCCCGCAGAATTTTTGGAAAGCAATCAGGACTTTTCGGAAGAGCGCTTGCTGAGTTCTCGATTCCTCAAAGGTTCAGCAATATATCTGCAAAAGATAAGAGCGGAAAAAAAATTCAACAAGCGGTCTCTCAAAAACTCGCTGACTGTTTTCCTAGAATTTGCGAGCGGAATGCAAAATTTCAGCAATGCGTATTTTCCGGCGCCCGCCTGCCCCCGGCGATTATCTGAGTGGAAGGATAGGTTCAGTCGACGTTAACGCTTCCCCCCCCCCCGGTCGACGCTTTTAAGAGGTGAGTGTCCGGCAGTACCACCTTCACTTTTGGCCGGCCAGTGGTAGCTGGAATCACCTTCACTTTTGGGGGAGCCGGCTCCACCTATCGCACCTCTGCTTAAGACGCTTCCCTTGTTAGTTATAGTGATTTTAGTGTTCTTTTTCGGTCACGAATACTAATGAAGAGTGTTTCTGAACTCTGTATCGAGCACAGCACCTTTGTAAGATGTGTGTAGTATGAATTTTTGAAGGAGAACCAGTGTGAGAAAAAGCCCAGCCGGAAGCTGACCGAATCGCTGCTTATGCGTCTCCCGCAGGAGACTGCAGCCTAGAGCGGGATCTCGCCGACTGGATCGGGACATTATCGGGACTCCCGCAGGAGCTCCCGGATTTCTCAGTAGAAAACATGTCGGGACAAAAGCG